GCAGCAGACGATCAACAAAACCTTTGTCATCCTTTTCTTTACTTTGCTTCCATCTGACAACAAACTGTATTCCAACCAAACTAATGAGGACACGCAGTCACAGTGCCTAATAACCAGCGTGCACATTGTATAAAGCAGATGTTCCAAAAATAGATGTTGGGGATTAATTGCATTAATTTGATGAATTAAATCATGCAAAAAACAAAAGATCCCTGCGAAGAATACTGTAGCTTTTAGCCAGGCTGACTCAGAGGTTCACGGAGGGTCAGTTCCCATCAGTGTAAAGTGTTTCACTGTTCTGTCGATACAGCAAAGCTTTTGACACATCGAAGAGCTATGATGTCTGACTAAATTTAAACCCCTCTTGAATAAAATAGGGGAATAACCTCCTGAGGTGGTGCTTAGGTGCAAAAGGCCACAGTTAAAAAACAGTAACCACACTTTTTGGGTCCTGATGGGCTATTGCTTGTAAATGGATCATCTGCTCGTCCGTCCACAGACCCACATCCACTTCATTTAAGAGTGAGGGCATTGTGATGTATAATCAGTCCAAAGCCTCCCAGACTTTGCTGACACCTTCCAGGCATTCCTCAGGGTACCTCCCACTGCTGTGCCCCACCCCACACCCCAACCCTCCCTTGTCAAGCTCTACATATCATCCCTTTTTTTTTCCTGTGACTCAAACATTCCTGCAACCCCCTCCCCTTCTCAATTTCCAGCTCCGCCTCTGCATTCAGCAAAGACGCTAAAGAAAACAAAGATGAGGCCAAAACAGCTTTAAAACCTGCACTTTTCGAGGCAAGTCTTTCAAATAGTTCTTTATCATTTATCCGCATTCAAAAAAAGCTGTTTCAAAACACCAGCTATAAACTAAGGTAATACTTCAACGAGCAAGTGGTTGTAAATCTGTCTAAAGATGACCCATCCATAACTCGACTCAGGAGAGGCAAGAAGATGGCTCTGAGAGTGAGAAATAGACTGGCTGTGTCTGGCAGCAGTTCAACTTGGGAGCAAAGAGAGGGGAATGCATGCTGACACTGTCTTTGTTGGCTATTATTCAACAACAATGAATAGCATGAAGTTGCTCCTAAGGCTCATCCATTTCCATCTCCCCTGTTGAAACCACCACCATTTTCTTCCCTCGGTTAATTCAACCCTTCACTAAAAGCACTCTCCAACAAGTAGTCAACAGGTTGGCTAAGACTAAAACCTGGACAATGAATGGAATGATACACTTCTATTTTCAGAACGGCAAACAAGCTTTAAAAACAAAATAAAAAAATCCTGAACTTTTGTTGACATCAGTTTTCATTCTCAAGCAACACAAGGTAGTAATGCTCTGTTTTTCCCAAACATGGCTAAGTATAGGCTTGCTGTCTCATTATGGTCAGGCCAATGTTGGTGCTCCCATATTCCGGCTATGTCTTGTGTATCATTATGACAGACAACATGGTTTTGCCAGTGAAGGTAATTGCCCTGTTGAGATGTAAATATAGCACATCCCACATCAAGAACAGACAAAGACTTTTGTTTTCTTCCCAGAAACTTGGATCACAAGATGATTTGTGGTTTGAAAGCAAATACATGTCACCGCATTATCGCCTGACAAATAACAACGGGTGATTCGACAATCTGCCGCCAAGGTGAATCTGAACACAAAGGGATGACAAGTGAGCACAAAAGGAAAATGACAGCAAGACACGGTCAACTGGATCAGCTGATACACTCCAGGTAAACAAACTTTGAATTCCTCTAAACAGGATAGAAAAGACAGAAAAAGTACACAGAGAGCCGCCTCGCTCTCTGATCACTCTTTTAAAGACCGCTCCAATGAAGCAAAAGAGATTCTCAGTTGGCTTTCACAGCTTCCAAGTTGTCAGGACTTTGGCTACACTCTGGCACTTTCTCCATCATCTCTTTTTCTGCTTCTTTATTCAGAACCAGTCTAGACTGGCTCAGGACAAAGTTACCACCATTCAAAAACACTGCTGCGTCACACATTGCATCACGTTGCATTTTGAGCAGCTGAATGAAAAGCTATTTTGAGAGATGAAATACATTTTTGGACAGCGATCACACGCTGCAGTGTGTTTATCGTCAGTGTCTTCGTGTTGGAAGCAGCAAACTAGTATTTCAAAATATCTCGACTGCTTAAAAATCACGCT